TTGCCTGGCCCCAGCTCCTTCCAGCACCTCTCTCTCTATGCCCACACCTGTACAGTAGCAGCGTTACGGCCAGGTATTGCTTGTCCGACAACTCTTCGCTAGGCTAAGCCGTGTCTGTGCCAAATCACAGCCTTCAAAAAGATGCCCGGCCAAGAGATAAATCTCTTAATGTACAGCTCGTAATGGAAAAATGCACGGATCCCAAAAGATGCAACGATGTGTAATCAGAGTGGCACTAGAAAGCGTGATTATAATTACAGCCGTGATTAGGAGGGAAAGGGGGAGGAGGCAGACGGAGAGAACGCAACAAGAAATTTGGTGGAAACTTCTTTAAAATAATTGCCAAACCCGGATAATCACGATATCATTGTCGTACTGTCAAAGCTTCCCAAGTGACAGTTTTCAGTGAGTGAAGATTGCATGATTGGTCTCTTTGGGGTCTTTTTTTTTTTTTTTCCCCCTTCTGTGAGAAACACTGTTCTTTTCCTGTGGCTTGAGAAAGAAAAAGGCAAGGAGTCATAGAATAAAATGGTCTGGCTTGACTGCTTAAGTAAAAGAATATTGTGTTACCTTTCCCTATAAAGCCCATAATTTTAATTACTTTCTGGCAGATTTTGGTGATGCCGGTGTTAATGCCACTAAAGCAAGAGGCTTTCTCTTTTTTTTTTTTGAAATATGGGAGAAGTATTTCACTTTGTCTTTCCAAATGTTAGATATGATATGCCCAGAAAAAACTTAAGTGTCTTAGTCTCTTCTTGTCTATTTCATTTTATTATCAAGATTATTTTGACTCCTTCTTAATAATCAATACTGACATGATGCTATGTAAGTCTAGCTCCCTGCTTTGGAATAACATAGCTCTGCGACTTGGAAGCATCCTTTCTAGCGGTTACAGCTGGAATTGAAAAGACCTGTGTGTTTTTCTGCCGTCTTGGTAATTGTATCTGTGACTTGGACCAACTCTCTTTACCCCTCTGAACTTCAGTTTTTCCCATATAGAAAAGGAAGGGAGACGTAATAGATGAAGGTGCTTGAACTGAACCTGTAAGAATCAGATATGAATTGTGACTTACTGCCTAAGAAGAAACATTTCTCACGTGGGGTTTGTTTGGCTGTTTTGCGTCCTATTCCTGCTTCCGTAAATTTGCGGGCAGAGAGAACGACGGCAGCCGGCTCCATACTCTAACACCAAGCCACCTTACACTATTGAGAAATTAGGTTTTGACTGCTTGAGGATTACAGGCATCGATGCAGTATGTTCACTGCTGAAGTAAATGAGCAACTTAGTAATTGGGTAAATCTTGCTTTGCCTTCAGACTCTGACACAGCTGGCGGGCAGAGTCCCAGCGAGCACGTATTTCCAGAATTCATCCCTGAGGAGAGTAAGGGCATGAATGGTTGGGCAGCGTTCAGATCTGAGCAGAAGATGTAATGTTCTCACTGAATGCCTACAACACAGAAGAGTTTTTAACTACCAGCTCTGCCAATATCCATCTCTGTTAGCTGTGGGATTCAAAAAGACACAGGGACTGTGAGCCTGACCAAGAAATAGCGAATAGGCTGCCAAGCCCTCATTTTCTCAGAACTTCAGCCGTCCCCTGCTTAATAAGGTAGTCATCATCCATGCCTCAAACCCTCTGTCACATGGGGAAGGTCAAAGGTGTAGAAATAAGAGATCTTGGTGCCATCAGAATACTGGAAATACGGAGACTGGCTTCCTTTGGGGTAAAAATTGGGCACAGTTTGCAGTATAAAAGCTGAAAATGATGAAAGCACCGTCTTTGAAAGGTTCATTTAGGTAGCTAGTTACTAGCCCATGATGACTTCTGGTGTCTCTTGGAGATAAGAAGAGGAAAGTGTGCCATTCAGTTGTATTTGTTAAAGACCACAGGTCCATCAATTCCTCCTCATAGTCAACAATACAGATGGCAGCTGATCGATCCAAAATACTCAGAATAAACACACAGCTTCATCTCCACTTTACCTTCAGTGCAGTCTGGGCACTATGTCTGGGCTTAGTGCAGTCTGGGATTAATGCCAAACTAGCTGGGGTCAAAACCCCAAGCACTCCAAGAACTGATGGATTTGTTCTCTTACACTCTTGCTATCCCACTTTCTCCGATACCCAAAGAAGATATGAGTGATGACAAGAAAATGCTATCATCAGGGCATGATTTCTTCATCAGGAAGATCAAAGCCAGTCACTTTGATCTTCCAAAGCGGCCTCATTATGACTGGCCTAAGTGTTTGCCTCTTAGCCTTTTCTAGTGAAAATGTTAGAAACTCCCAGAAACTTGGGAATTATCTCCAGATTGAAGCCCATCTCAGAAAGGTCCCATTTGTTCCCAAGAGGTACAGCCGTCCTATCATGGTTGGAGATAGGAGATTTCTGTTTGTAAAACGGGCTGCAGATTCACTGCAGCACAAAGCAACACCCCCTCGACAAGTCAAACAAACTAGATTAATGAAACTGTTAAGGACACACAATAATGTACTTCACCGTGGATTTGCAAATGCTTTGACAGATATGAAGAACCCAACCTCTCACTTCTTTCGTACTCCCACTAGTCATTTTCAAATTTGATTATGCCACCGCAAGAGACATTAGTGAGTCCAGTGGCACTGAAACTTAGCGGGCCTTTGTCTCCCTCTGCTAACAGCAGCCACTTTTCTGTTACTGGCCCAAGCTATGGTTATATAAATAAATATTGGTAACATGTTTTTCTCTAATATTGAAAAAAGGAAAAAAAAAAAAAAAAGGTGGGAAACAACAGTGCCTGGGAATTTTGTTTTAAACTCAAAAGATCTCAGTTTTATTTGGATACATTTACAAAGGTAAATACTTACAAGGACAGATCACAAAAAAACCTGCTTATACAAAATGTGCAAATTAAACAAGCAAGTAAACACGAAACTTTTTTTTTACAGTGGTTCTCTTTGTGTTCTTCTAAGATTGATGTTTACAATAGGTTTGATTCTAGGCTCTATCACACTGTGATAGCTAATGCATATTTCTCTTTCAGTTGTAGCAAGTCTAATCATCCTACATTTGTCTGGGGCAACCAAAAAAGGAACAGGTATGTAAACTGCAGACATTTTTTTCAGACATTATGTTAGTCCAAAGTATGGATTTGAGTTGTTAGTTTAGTTCTTGAAATTTTTAGTAGTTCATCGACTTCCAGTGTCTGTCCTTTGTTCATTTGTTTTGAGTACCAGTGTGCCTGTACACACACAAAAAGCCGGTGGTTTTTTGTTTTTTTTTTTGTTAACAAGTTGGTGACCTGATCCACAGCTCGATCTAACTAAAGGCTCAGCCTGACTCTAACTGGAGACTGTAAAATGTCCCCACCTTCAAACTGGGAAGTCCAGTTTGGGCACTGAGCTATCTACACGTAAGAGCTTTTTGCTTGTTGAAGTAGAATTCAGAATCTGAAAATTGGGTATCGTGGGTGCGTTTGTACAGAGTGGGGATAGAAAGGTTGTTAAAAGCCCGGTGTGGTGGGAGCCAAGGAAGGAGAGCTGCTCAGCACAGTGGGTGTCTGAACTTGTGTCCGAGTGCTCAGTCCCCGCAGGTCTGAATTCATTTCAGGAAATTAGGATTTGTGTCGTAGTCAGCTTGGATACAGACCAGCACGAAAGAGAAACGCTTGCAGAGCATAAGGCAGATCTCGGGCGGTTCAAATCATCCTTGGAAGGTGTCTGTCTCCCTTTGTTGATGATAAGAGGGAGCCTCAAACAACTTGGCTCTACACATCAGGGGCTTAAGTTAGATGGGACGCTCCTTGGATATAGACTGCTCATTTGGACCAAAACACAGGAGTCCTCTTCAGACACCTCTGTGAGGTCTAGAACCTACTATCCTTCCTTTTAATACCAGCCTAGGTATTTTTCCCTCTGAAGAATCCATCTTATTTTTAACTTACTTGTGAAAGCATGATGCCCAGGAAGCGATCCTTCACCTTCTTCAGCCTGAACAGACAAAAACCTTTGTCTCCAGGCTCTCCGCAGTGTGCAGAAGGGAGTACAAGAGTTTTAGGGCTAGGAAGAAAGCAAACAAGAAGGTCTGACTCTACTCCTTGATGATTCACCAAGGAGGAGGAAGGTTCTGAGCTGTGATTCCTGGCCTCAGAGCTATTAATCATTTTCATAGCAAACAGCAAGATAATGTGTGAACCAGAATCCAGGAATTCCCCAGTATATCTCTGTCTGGTGGGTATAGAGTAAAGCTGCTGTGACTTTAAAAGAATTTGTGTAGTCTGTCATAATTCGATGGGTTTTTTTCTTGATTTTGTGACTCTGATGTATTCCTGAATTATGGCACGTTGCTTGCTGATAGGGCACATGATTGAGCCTTTTGAGATGTACAACTGGGAAACTCATGTCTCCCATTTCTTGAACATGTGCTCTCCCTACAAGGTTATTATTTAAAAAGCAATATAAATATGTCTTCCAAGACATATAGACATCCAAGATGCTTCTCTGCTTTGAAAAAATGTTTTGAGTAAGAATTGTATGTTTGTACCCCTAAAGAACAGCCTCGTTCTCCCTCAGGTCAATGATCGTACTCTTAGTCTCAACAGAAAAAAGCTGAGGCCACTGACAGAAAAGACTGTTTTATTCTATAAGAGAGTTCTAAGTGTTATAGGGATGTAATAATTTGTCAGCTAGTTTCATAATGCTTTATGTGATCATTTCACAGAAAAGCAAACTACTTCCGAAGGGCAGAAACCCGTGCAGTGTGGAACTTGGACAAAATATGCAGAAGGAGGCATCTTCACTTCTCCCAATTACCCCAACAAGTATCCTCCTGACAGAGAGTGCGTCTACATTATAGAAGGTGATCAGCTGGAGAATCTTTATATTCTATCATCAACTGTATATAAAAAAAAGTATTTTATTTTGTTATATGTGAAGAGTAGGTAAAACCTATATGATCATGATAAAACTTTTCAAGACACAAGGTTTAGAGAAGCTCTATCTCTACATTTTTTCTTTTTTCTTTTTTTTTTCATCTTTTGGTAAAAAATTTAAAACTTTTGTAGAGCGTACCAAGAAACACTGGAAAATACTTGATTTATTTCCTGGCATCAGTCATAAATTAGTTCAGGTGGTAAGTATGCATGAGTCAGTAATAAACACAGTGTAATTTATTTCAGGATATTCAGAGAATGAATAGAACCTAAAATGCTGTAACATGACAGAAGAAAGATTATTTTAAAATGAGTAAAAAAAGTGAACACGAGAAACAAAAATGCTTTTGACTTTCATTTAGATATTTTAAACTTCTCATAACTGAGTCAGGGATGACAAGCATAGCTAGGCAAAATACAGTAAAGAAAGTTGTACAGAAAATATCCATATAGTGAGTGTAAAAATAATTTTCCATCCAATAGTTCATGAGAAATGAAAATAAATGAAAAAAAAACCCCACAAACAGAACCAAAACAAACCCAGGAAAGTAACTGTTAACACCAAAGAGCTGTAAGACACAGTTTTTAAAGAGTAGACAGTTGCAGGCATGGAGGTAATGTAAGAAAGGTTAGAGGAGTATTACAAGCAAGTTACGCGGTTTCTTTTCATCAGTCTTAGCACAATGGATATTGAAGGGATTGTTGTAAAAATGAATGAATCCATGGAAAGTAATAGAGGTTGGATACTGTGAGAGCTTAGCAGCAGAAAAGAAGAATCAGGTACTGAATGATAAGTTATTGGAACCAAGAAGATTCGTTCATGAGTTGTGAATACATGCAGAATACGACACTGACGCTTGTTCTATCTATGCTTGGTTGGACAGAATTATTAACTACAAATGATGGAGCCAGAAATTATAGAAATATGTATTTTACTAAAGATGCAGGTGGTACCAAGAGAGATTCCCAAAGGTGTATAACTGTTTCAAATGGAACTGGCTGCTTTTTAGAACTCCCTACCAGGCCCTTTTAGAAACCAGTCTGCCTTTCCAATCTAGTGCTGAGTTACTGAAAGAAAAATATTTCATAAAAACCCTCCAGGGAAATAATGGATAGTAAATATTGTATGTATTGTTTAGGAAAAAAAATGACAGGAAAATGACTGAGATCTCTGAATTCCACTTTAGTGCTAGGTAACGTGACTGAAGTCAAAAGTAAAGAGGTGATTATAAATCATGGAGTAAAACAAGCCCTTCAAAGAAAATTTATGCTTGTCCAGTCTTCTGCCTGGAGTCTGAAATTTAAGCAGATATATGGTAAACATTTAAGTCCTTTCCTAGTTTAGCAATTGATTTAAAATAAAAAAAAAAATAAATTAAAAAATATATATGTATAGATTCACTATGTACTACTTGACGTTATATTTTCTGTTACACTCATGTTGCTAGATCCATGTCCTTTTGCCTATATTGATCAAATTATCTTTCTAAAATTCCTGTGAGACCAGGAAGAAATAAGCCTATTTTATCTTCAAGGATCTGAAACACAGAGATGTGTTTTATCATTAAAGATAAAGAGTGTGGAAGAAAAAAAAAAGATCATTTTTGTAAACCTTAGTCCAGTATCTCAGGCCATAAGCTGTTCCTCTTAGTAAGAAGATGCCTGAAAGCCCTTTATTGTAAAGACCTTTGTCCTTATTATTGTAATTAAGTACTTATAAAAATATGGTTAATAAATTGAAAGGTGGCAAAATACGCTCTTCAAATAACCTGATCTAGAATAGCTCAAATTGGAAATGTCTAAGAACAATTTAGGAAGGAAAGATTTAATCAACCAACTTCTATGACGAAGACAAAAGTCCACATTGACAAGTTCGGAGCAATGTACAGTAAAAAAAGTAATCCGAACTCAACAGACATCTTGTTATATTTTACAGGAAAAGTCAAACTGGCAAAAACCAGTCGCACATAATTTCTTACGACAATGATATTTTCTGCTTCCTGTCCAGCCATAATAAACAGTTTGGATTGCAGCTGGGTATTTTAAAACCCATGATGATAGCAGTTCTGTCAGTATATAATTTGATGAGAACCATGCATATTGCACAAAATTTTCAGCTCTGATCTCCCTGTTTCTACTTCTATCTTCCAAAAAGATTAGGAATAGTCCTGTCTGAAAATGTCACAAAAATAAACAGAGATGTAGTAAGATGTCTGAGCAACGACATTTTAAAAAGTGGCAGTTTTCAAAACAGGCAAAAGGAGAAACACTGAAAGACAACAAAAATTATTTTCTAATTACAGTTAATTATTTGTCCGTATTTGCTGTTTTTACAACATATAAAAATGGCAGAAAATGATAAAGAAGGTTAACAAGTGAAAACTTTTCCCCATAATCTTGATATTTTGTGGAACTCATTGGCATAAGATATTGAAGTTAAAGGATTTAGAAAAATAAAAAAAAGGATTAACTATTTTGTTAATAGCAGTATCTTTGAGGTCAGATAACAATCTATGGAGTATATGATCCTTGCTGATTTCAGACATAAATATCTATTCAATTTTAGAATAAGACAGAAACATCTCCATATGCATCTTCTTTCTATATTTATTATTGAGATTCCAATATACTAAAATAACTTCTGGCTGCTGTTGAATACCGAGTTACCAAACTAGGAGGACTCTCAATATGATCCAGAATAGCGTTCCCACGTTGCCATCTCCTCTCTGTAGGTCTTAGAGAGTTCAGCGTACCAGAACTGTATACACCATAGCTGTATGATGTGTGTTTAAATACATATATGAATCACCAGGTTGCTTCCTGCCTGTTTGCTTTCGTTCCTTCACTTTTTCCTATCAAACACAATCTAGGGCAAATTCTGGTGGCTCCCCTCAAACACAATTCCTACTGACTTTGGTGGACATGAACAAGGACTCCAGCATGTAGTGTCTTGTAATAAAACTGAATTTCTTCTCATGATACAATTTTTTCCCCCACATTGCTCTTCTTAAGTGTACGCAAGCCTTTTAACATTTCAAAATTGCTTCGGTGAAGTAAAGGAGCTGGCAAAAATTGGCATGATCCTCAACTCAGTTTCTAAAAGAGAAGAGGATTTCTGACGGCAGAAACTTCTATGCTAGTAATCAAAGGCAGAAGCAGATCAAACAGCTAGAAGTTTCTCTTTCTTTTACTTTTTTTTTTTTCTTTTCTCCTATTTTAGTAGTAATGATAATTAACTATTGGAACAACTAGGAATTTTAAAGTCCAGATTGGATGCCTTCCTAAAAGAAATCCTTTAGGTCATCCAGAAGTCATGGACTCAGTACAAAAATTATTATGCTATAGAGGAACTTCTGGTGAATCCCACCTGCCTTTCAAAATGCATTGAGAATTTATGAAATTTTTTTTTTCTTTCAGTCTTATTGGGCATATAGAAAACACAGGAAATAGATGGGTGTACACTTTAAATTCCCTGTTGGAGCCAATTTCACCCTTATTTCACATCTTCATGACTCTAATCTGGCAAAACTCACAGCTGCCTGGAACAACCGCAGCAGTGGCAGCCTTTGCCTTTGCCAGACTGCGGAAAATTTGGCGTGTGTGTTCCAAAGGGAAATTTGCACAGGAGATTTTCTAGAAGCAAAGGCTTTTGTTTGTGTTAAAAATGTTTGGGGAGTGGGACAGTCATACTTTACACAACATATCTTAAGAATTGGTTTGGAAATCCTGTAAGTGAAATACTTGTAAGATTTTATCCATTCTTCAGTTTTTAGTAATTAAATGCTTATTTATAAATATAAGTATGGACTAGAATTACTTTATGGAGATATGAAATAAATCTTCCACTTTATAAGTCTGTGGACATTTAGAGTTAGCTGTCTTGGAGGTCTTCCATGTTTTCATTAAAGACCATTAAACTCTTTAATCCTAAGTATTTCACAGGTGTTAGAAAATGGTCACGTATCACTGTACAAAAAACCTCTGCTCAAAGTCCTTTTGTATTTCACAGTGATTTTGGTGTTCAGAAAGTTTTCATCGAAACACGGAAAGAATCCTCTTTTAAAAGGAGGATATAGGTGGCTTTCTTATCAATAACAGCCGGACAACCAGAAAGACCAAGGATTATTGAAAACTATTAGTACTGTAGCAGCTCAGATAGCTGGGGGTAGGTGTTGAGTTCAATTTCTCATTTCCATGCAGTCTGGTAAATTGAAAGAGATTTTTTGCTTAACTTCAGCTGTCAGTTACACAGACGTAGAGGCTGATCAGAGTTAAAACCTTAGTTATGTGTTTTTCCTGCAACTGTTCTTCTACCGCAAGTTGCAACCCAATGCCTTCTTTTTCGTTGAAGGTAAAATCTCAAGACAGCACTTGTGTAACATAATTAGGTGAAAAATATGACAAGGCATGCAAGCATTAAGTAGTCTTTCCACGGTATTAAACATTTTTGAAGAAAGATAATTGGAAGTTAAATATGGAATATTTTTAAGATTTGAAGTAAAATCATTTTATGAGACAGCTTCAATATATTTAGTTTGGACTTCACAACAACTTTTCCTGACATTGTAGCCACAGAAAAAGTTCTGAAGATGTGAATGGGCTTTACCTGTGAATAAGGATACCAGAAATGACCACTCCATCCCTCCTTTTCTGAATAGGTGGTCAGATTCCAATCCAGTCTGGAAAAATTGCATATTCTGGGCTTTTTTGTTTGGTTTGGTTTTGGTTTGGTTTATTTAGCTTTTTTTTTTTCCTGTAGATATACATACATTATTAGTAGTCTTTATTCTGAATTTGTCTCACTGTATTTCTGTAAGTTTTACTGTGACCACATCTGCACACACTTTGTTGCCAAAGCTGTGACACAAGATGTGTATTTATACAATACCTGCTTGTTTTAGCTTGCGTTTGGCAAAGAAACCTTTTGCTAAAGCCAGAGTTTAAGTCTGAAACAATACCTTTTTCGCTAAAAGGAAGTTAAAGTTTGGAGTTTGAGTTGGGTGTTTTCATCCCTTATGGTCATTTCTAGGAAGATTTGAATAATTTTCTTTCTTAGGTAGATTGTTGCAAACAAAACATTTAATCTTTAAATGTCATACAAGATGAAGCACAGAGGTGCATTTAAAAGCATACGATGAAAAGGTGCATGGATGTGTATAGAGCACCCCCTCCTCACTTTGCCCAGTCTTTTGTGATCACCACAGTCCTTACAGTGACAGAAACACAAAATGTTGGATTCCTTGGGAGAGTTAGGAGAAAGGACCTCATCCTGTTTGGGCTACCTTGCAGAGCAGACTGGGACAGAGGCAGTACTTAAAACAGGTCAGGAAATGTTCACTGGCCTTAAGGCTGACAAGCACAGTCACACGTGTACAGATTAACTCCTTTCACCTTCCCAGCCAAGAGCAGAGATGCAAACTGCTTCTGTGAAAGGTCCTCAACCATTGGGAACCACCACGTCATGCCTAAGAACGAGTTTTGACAGTTCTGACTGGCATGGCCAAAATGATGCCAGGAGGTGATTTTAATGCTTAAGGAGGGTGAACGGTCAGTGGTCCAGCCCCCAAACTCATTCCTCAGCCTTGATTTATTTAGCAGTGGAGAAACGGTGCTAATGAATAGTCAATGCTTCATTCTTAAAGTGGAGCATCCTCTACACATGGGAGCTTGGGGGCAAAGTAGAAACTCTTTCTTGAGCGCTCCTTAAGCTGATGTGATTCTCTCTGATCCTCTAGCAAGAACCGAGCTTCACTAGGAAAAGCCTAGTCTTGAGTTTGTGGAAAAGTAAATAAAAGCAGAGAAGAGTAAACACTAGCAATATTCTGATCGTAAAACTAGTTTGCAATGTGAGATTCCGAGAGCTACGTGGAAGTTGTGGAAATTGCGCAGTCTTTTCTCAGGCTGTGCTTTCACCAAGTCAGTAGATCTTATGTGTAAATCCATTGGCCCGATTGTCCCACAAGGACTCCTTTTATACTATACTGAGGGTAAAATTGGCTCTAGGGTTCCTTTTTAATACCAAAAATCATATCAAATGACTGAGCTATAACACAGAGGGGGCCTCATGCCCATTTTTGTCATATGTTACATGAGTCTTGGATTCCAGGAAGACCCGTTAAGGGTTTAACTATGCGCCAGCACCTGTAAGGCACCTCTTGGTGTGAAATAGAGTAGCGAAGGCCTAAGATAGGAAGTTTATAAAGGAGAAATGTGGCATGTTAATGGCATAAGCCATTTTTGAAGCAGGTATCTCTGTTGTTGTGGGAAGCAGGGCAGCTATACAATGTGGTATGATGCTGTCTGATGCTAACAATAGTAGCAGAATTCATCTTCAGATCTAGTTTGCAACGTTGAAACATTACAATAAAACTTTAGGGAGGTTAATAGCATAGTACTTGAATAATGAGTATATAAGATTTTCAAGCCTTAATGAGCATTCTTAAGGTTACCTGAAGCATTATTGGGATGGAGTTTGTGATACCTGACTCTGCAGTCCCTGGGTGGATGACGAGTAGTTCTCAACAAATCCCTTTAAATGGAATAAGAGCATACAAAATATGTTACGAGATTGAAAGGTGCAGATTGCTCTCTTCTGCCCTAGTATTGCTTAGTTAAGTTTAGATCAATATTTGTTATAAATATATGAAGGACAGAAACATCTGAACAAAATTAATTGATGATGTCTTCCAGTTATTCAGTCTTTTACTATAATCTAAAAGATCTACTTTGGTCTTCAAACCTCACCAAGGTTAGCATTAATAAGATCTTTACAAGACTTATTATCTGATTTTAATTTTGTAAGTTTTTTTCATGCTTTCAAAGCAGTTTCATTTCCACGGACTGTGAATTTGGTGCAATTATATGTAAAGTTTTAGATTTTGATTTTGCTATTGAATTTGTGTGGGTGCAAAGATCACAAATTCCCTGTAAATTGGAATAAATAACAAAAAGCCAATAGTAAGTACTTCCCTAAATGTGAATTTCTTCAAATTGAGAACAGTAGATAAAGTTTCTTTCTTATGTTAAATTAAATATTTCAATAAATATCAATCACCCAATTATATTAACATTGAAAGTAAAACTATTAAAATAATCTTTCTTTGCAAATAACATGTTTTATTAACTCACTTCTTCAATAATTCTCATAAAATGAGGCTGTATTTATTTATACAAAATAGTTGTAAATGGGATCAGACTGTGTACTCTTATGTAAAGATGATAAGATTTACCTAGTATCTTGTTATTTAGTTAATTTTAAATAGTCCCCCTTCTTATGTGAGTAATGAGCTCATCGCAAAAGCTTCAGTTTACATTTCACAATACACACAAGATCTAAATTCTAGCCACACTGATAGTTTCCCTATTATTCCCGAGGAAAGAAATGGAAGGATACTGACTGCCGGAGTGCCAGCAGTTTCGATGTTAAGCTTATGCACTCAGCTTGGAGTTTGATCTTGCCTGTTTTCATGTGAAAAGAATGGTAACTCAGGGAAAGCTCGTAGCAATTTCAACCTTTTCTACTATGTGTAAAGTGTAGGACGTGATCCCGTGAGAGGCACAGCAGGCAGTGACACAACAAACCCTTCTCTTAGCAGAACACTTTGTCAGCAAAATGTTGTATCGCACTACGATCTAGACACTGAAGGCGTACATTTTTTTGCGGTAGACAGGATTAAGTGTAGGAACAATGCACCTCAGGCATGCTGCATCTGTTAATATTTGTAGACAAAACCATGATTTTTTTCTTTTTTCTTTTTTTTTTTTTTTTTTTCTCCTTTGAAGAAAATACTATAGTTGAACCAGTAACTATTTTGCTTTATACAGGAGATGCCAGGAAATATTTGTTGTAGAGCTCATTCTGACTGCCACTACCTTAGTATCTTTGAATAGAGATGTTTTTTATGACTAATTAAGTGACCACTATAAAGTTCCTTACAAGTTTGCAGTTAGTTAGAAGTTCATTTGGCTTCAAGCTTACCTAGTTTTGTAAGTGAGAATTCACTACACCTGCCCTTATGTTTCAAATGAGATGATAAGTAATTCTGAATGTAAGCAATTACACTCAAGCTCATCATTGACTGCAATACATATGGGAACAGAATTTGTCCTTCTTCTTATAGTAGGGTTCTAATCAGTTTTTTCTTCATCTTTTTGAGCATTATGTAAAAAGGTATTCTGAAGAACATTTGCCCTACCAAAATATAAGAAGTAGCTGTTTTTCCAGATGCATAAATTTCTTAGAAAGATTTTGTGTTTGAACCAATTGTTCCTAAACTGTATTTCAATTTATATCATAGATATCTCTCTTAGTTTTGCTAAGAACTGCTTTCATGAGCACATTTTTAAAGGAAAAGAATAGACAAGTAAACTGATAGTGTAAAATCTGTAAAAGTATAGATGTACTATTTTTCAAACAAGTTTTTAAGCAAAATGTTAAGATGCATATACAGTATCACCATATTTTATTTTCTTTAATTTTGTTTTAGGTTTGAAGGGTCTTGGTTTAGAAAATAATGAGATCATTTTCTTTTCATCTCTAGCTGCCCCTAGACAATGCATTGAACTACACTTTGATGAAAAATATTCCATAGAACCTTCTTGGGAGTGTAAATTTGACCACATTGAAGTACGAGATGGACCTTTTGGCTTTTCCCCAATCATTGGACGTTTCTGTGGACAGCAAAATCCACCTATGATAAAATCCAGTGGCAGATTCCTATGGATTAAATTTTTTGCTGATGGTGAGCTGGAATCTATTGGATTTTCTGCTCGGTATAATTTTACACCTGGTGAGTACAAACCATCACACTTTTTGATAGAAAAAGCTTAGCATAGTAACTTTGCTAATGATGTATAATTGTGCTGCTGAATAATATCTTTAACTGAGACTATGCTTATTATCAAGGAAAGTATTAACAGATAGGAAAATGATAGAAAGTATACATATCTTCTGCATAACAAGTAAGGCTTATTTGAGGAAGAAATTTTCAATACGGTTTTGTCCAAGATGCGTATATTCAGCCTATACAGTTTTTAAAAGAATTATTTTCAATCAAATTCTATTATAGAAAATCATTCAAAATGTTTCATGGGAAGCTATGTGGTTTATGCTTGATTGTTACACTGTGCAGCTTTTCTTTCAAAATGATCACTGATAAAGTATTCTAATAAAAAAGTGTAATTATCTCAGAAAATTCCATCATTGTTTTCCACTTCACCAATCGTTTCCCCAACTAAGGAGTGGAATAGTTCTCCCTTCTCAATAAAGTAAACTATTACAAGTATTGCCAGAGGACATATGAGCTTCAAATAGCAAAATATATTAAATATTTTTCTAGAAAAGATGTAAATCTTCATTGTAATTGTACAATTATTCCTTGTCACTTTTTAAATTTGATTCATTAAAGTAAAACAGAATTCCTAGTCATACTTTCCATTAACTTTTCTCCTCCACCCACTTACTAACACGAGATTGCTGATTTTAAATTTTGGTTTTGGCTGCAGCTACACTGTACTGCACTGCACTACTGGACTTGACATAGCTCTGTACCTTCTTATGTATTGAGTGATGAGTCATACCTTAATATAGCTCACTCTAAAGCACTGTAATTATTATGTAATTTTGTCAGTTATGTCACTATTGTTTCAGCTAAATTGTTGTATTGGGTGGAGCAATATTCTTCAGCATATCTGCGAAGATGAACAGGTCCCAAATTCTGCTTGCTCAATTATTCCAGTAGCATCATAGAAGATAGCAGGGCTACTTGTATGTTCCTCTATGTGGCTTTCATTCTGTCATGCAAGGAAAATAGTTATAAAATTACCCAGATAGTTCAACTTACTTTTAAGTCAAAGATACTGTCTTCCAGAGGGTAAACGTGTTTAGAAGGTTCAAACAGTAACAGAACACAGAATTTCTGTAGCAAATAACCTGGTAGCCAGATATACGTATCTATTGTAAATGCAAAGAGAATGGATGAAATTTTACTATATCCACACATACTTGTCTCTGAAAAGCAAGTTAAATTTGTCTTTCTCATTTACCATGGCTGTGTGAGTTTTTGCCGTTTTCTTCCCCATCACCACCAAAAGTTCTTTGCTTTAGATTTCATGTCCTTCTTGTTTCAAAGGGTTATGTATTATGGTGGAAAAGATGTTCTTAACACAATCGGCAGCTTATTCGTCTAAAAAACTCTCATGTGAAAAACAATTTCTGGACCATGTTTTATCGTCGTTCCTTTTCTACTGATGTAAGGTGAATTTCTACACAGAGATCAATGCTGGTAAATTGCTAGAGCAGCATAAATTATTCCAGACTTCAGATGGAATAGCTATGACTTTTTTTTCTTTTTCTTTTTTTTCCCTCCGTAGTTTTCAATAGGAAGCTCTGCAAATGATAGAGGGTTTCTAGGAATATTGGCCAAAATTAGAATATGATTAATTTGACAAGTGCAAAACAGCACTTCTGCCTTCTTTATCACCAGTAACAGGAAGCAGTTCTCATTCTGCGTGATGACTTGACCAGTCCTTTATTATGTAGGCATGGTTAAGGCCATTTTGATGTGTACAGTGGGAGGGGTCACTGTCAACTGACCAAAGAGAATGATGGCTTTCAAGAGTGTAGAAAAGAATAACATAGAGAGGAATTGCCTCCAGAAATTGTCACCTAAACCATCTAGATTCATCTTGGGTAGTGACAACTTATGAAATTAAATTATGAACAAAGGAGAGATCAGGAGGAAATTTTCAGCTAAGCTCTGTTTAAAGAACACCAAGAAAATGATCCAAAGCAAGGACTCATTTGGAAACCATTGGTGTCTAGAGCAGCTGAACGCCCAGGGGAGGTACAATTTGTGGCACCCATCTCACTGAACACAAGCAGCACGCTCTGCCTAACTGCAGCCTGCATTGGAGGCTTTCTCCATCCTGGTGATGAACGCAACAAGTACCAGCAATCTTTGATGGTCCCCACCTGTGTGGTCCCCACCCATCCCTGACATGTTCCTCAGCCGTCACTTTTGCACTCGATATCTGGAGGGAGGCTCTGGTTTGTTGATAAAGACAAGAAATGTGACGTTGAATGTGTGGGTGTGTGGCAAGATTTTAAAAAAGTAAATGTGACTAAATGGAAGCTGCAACCATTTATTGTTATTTGAACAGTACCTGGAGAAGCAGGGAAAGAAATTATTTACTGTGGCTCCAGGGTGTACAAAAACAGCTAACTGGATGAAGTTGAAAAAAAGATCAATTAGGGTATCAGGAAAAATGTTCCAATGAAGATCTATTAGTCTGTGCAAATGGAAAGAGCCTTGTCACCTGAGGCATTTTAAAACTAGTTTGGACTAAGTCCTAACAAAAAAATTATATAGAACAAACCTAAGGAATAGACTAATATTTTGCAGTTACTAAAGCTTTTCTGTTTACTAATTTCTTTGAATTCTTGGTACTGAAATGGTTGGAGTTCCCTCCACTGATGCAAAAGTCCAGTGGAGTTTCCACAGTCTTTCAAGAAGCTGGGGTTTCAGGCATCTTGAAACAAACATAATTCTCTTGCCATGAATTCTGTTCCATTTAAACAGACTTTTTTTCAGAGCACTTTTCAGCACTTTAAAAGATGAGATCTAGCACAAGAAGCAACTTTAATGACAAATCCAGAACTACACACAAAACCGACACAAACACACCCAGTAAGTGGTAAAACTGCTGAAAATTATGCAAAAAAGTTCCTTATTAGCAGGAGAATTCAGGCTTTCATTTGTTGTGATTTTATAAATTGTAGGGTTAAGCAAGATGTGGTTGAATGAAGCTGTATGTGTGGTATAAGGATCGACTATTATTTAAACTCTGGATTAAGGGAAGAAGTTGTCTTTCTCTTTTATGTTACTACAGCTGAAGACCAGTAGTAACAAGATACAATTTGGATGTGAAGTAAATTTTCAACCATTTGTATACATGAGAGTTTATAAACAAAACAAAGCATATTTATTCTTTATGTACTATTTTAATTTTATTTTTTATCGTTACATACTGATTAACTGTGATCATTTCTAAATGGAACTATCTGAACCTATGAAAGATTCATAAATGTGTACAAACATTTTGATGTTTTTTGGCAGATCTCATGTATAAAAGAAATAACATATCAGGCTACAGTATTTTCAGGTTACTCTGGTTCATTTTGAATGCAAATATGGGTAGGTTTTTTGGGAAAGACACATGAGACAAATAACATGGTAGTTCTTTTTTATTCTTGTTTTCTCATTCTTTGGGCCATTGAAAGGCCTACAACTGAAAATTCATTTCACGTCTCTGGGAACTTGGACTCAATCTGTTACCCTCATTTTTCCTAAAAAGTTACGTCTGGAGAGTTTTCAGAAATGGTGTTGAATCACTATTTTGTGTAGAAAAATACAAGTCTTACTTCAAGGGGACTTATTCTTGACAACCATTCTTTAAAATGAGTCAATTTTTTAGTGTAGACAAGGATTCAGACAGAGGGAGGGTATGTTTATTCGGGCTTTCTTACTCAGCTAGAATAATCAGATTTCTGTTTATCCTGGTCCCTGCTTTTGCAGGACAGTGGCTTAAGATAGCACATCATTACTTTCAGTTCCTTCACTTAGTAGAAGCCATCTGTGTTTTTATTTAGCCTCGTTAATATAAAGGTCAGTCAGTAATGTGTTCTGTTCAACTGCCTGATAATGGAAAAAGAAAAAAAGCTTTATACTCTTATGTCCCAAAGAGTGGAGTGTAAAACACTGCGTAATTGGAATAACAGTACTTTTACATTCCCATTGCAGTGGTACAAGTGGCTGTAGAATATCAGAGTAATAGAATAATGACATCATCTGTCTTGAAGGAGGAAAAAATAAATAAATAAAAAAAAAAAAACAAAACAAAAAAAACCCAAACCAAATTCTTCCTGATTGGGAATTTCCATATTTTAGGACTGATGAAAAATTTAATGTGAATTTATTAAATTCAACCACATTTCTAAAGAACTTACATAAATTATCAAATCATTTTGCCATCTAATGTCCATGCCCTGCTGTGTGTATATTTAAGGAAGGAGTATTTTCCAGGCATCTGGGACAGCTGAATATTTGTGGGAGCTTGCTCACTTGCTTTTGTTTATTTATTTTCCTGTTCTCTTCTGAACTTGGTCTGATTGTTAACATCAGCAGTGACAACAAGTTTTAACCAACTTGTAATCCAGTTAAGTTTTTTGAGAAACAATAAACAATCTCAGAGCCATGTGACTTTGAATGAGTCAGTCTTTTTCCTTTGGGATCAGAGTTGGTTTGGAATTATGAGAAATTACTCCTTATAACTCTTTGTTTAAAAATTTGAGCCAGAACCTTCTGATGTTTAAAAAAAAGTGTAAATTTGTTTTATTTATTGATATTTCTAGCCTTCAGCACTTCAAATTGTTGTAAGCAGTTTCCCTGAGTTACGAACTTTTAGGATATTCATACATGTGTGCAACAGTCGGGCACTTCACTGCAGTTCACAGTGTATTAGGGCACCTGGTCTTGTGAATGAGAAGGAATTTCACCGCAACATCTAGGATGATGTATTTGCATGTTACATTGAAAATCATGATCAACCACATTGACATGCAGAAACAAACTCTACAACTCACAGAGAGTTATAAAGCAGGCATGTTTACTTCGGCGCCGGGTGCAAGGGGGATTACTCCTCCAAACTTGTACACCGAGTAAATGAAAATACATATTATATACTTTGAAACATTTACATATTCATAGTTCACTACATATTCATTGTTATT